TATATATATATATATATATATATATATATATATATATATATATATATGAAATACGAATCAACTATGTACTTCAAGGTGATTAAATTTACCCCTCATCTCTCCTCTCTGCGGGCTCCTTGCATTTTACTACTGCAGGATGATGCCCCTCCGTGACCCAAACAAAGAGAGGTAGAAATAAGGGTATCAAGCAGTAGCTGTGTGGTACTGCGTTTGGACAAACTTAACAAGAATCGTTTGCCATTAACTACCGTTTTCACTACATTGCTTTCATTAAGACTGACAGATGACTAAACCACTATAACCACCTCATTACAATGGCTTATTACCTGACCGCCTGCTTGAGGATGGGTATCAGTCACATGGCTCCTAGAGAAACTGGAATCATGCCCAATCTTGTTTCTCGATCGAGTCGAAGAAGGGAGAGCAGCCTCGGCATGCTTGATACATGTTCCATTAATACACCTTTGCTGTCGATATATACAGGGTATGGAATCTGGGATGCCACACAAGAACTAACGAGAGATTAATTATCAATTAGGCAAATGATATATCAGCGGATGATTAGCAAATGTACTCAGAATCAACTTTCCACAGCAATTTGATATTTAAAGGCAATGTTAGCCAGCTTACTAGTGATATAACTTCAGAATGTCACTCTGGGCGAGAGGAGATTGAGAAGGACTATTTTTGCTAGTCCTGTATGAGACATGCTAACATAGTTAAGATGGGAAAAAAATATAACTGATACCCACACAACTTATTTCTCGATGGATGAGAGTTTATCCAATCTTCAGGTGGAAGTAATAGAATACACAAAAAAGAAAAGATAGGACAATTTGTTGATGATTTTTTATCAGAAAATAATTGTTGCCCAGAACATTTTAAATTTGGATCCATCTTTTTGGAAGAAAACAAGCCTTTTCTTTTCTTTGAATTGTTGAAATCATTGCTGCAGTCTATAAGTTCTAAGGATAAATATCATGTCATGCTTATATAATAAATTCATAATTCATCTAGTAAACTTTGATGTCCAAAAAGAACAATACTTGGTTAATATGGTTACTACATGACAACTTATCAAGCACTTACTGCATGAAACTAGACAATACAAACATGACTTCCGAGAGGACATTAGTAGAGGCATGTACCCATGTCCATGCAAAAGGATATTGATCAGTTGTGATGGTATATCCCGAGCATGGGTAACTTGGCATGAAAGCAGATCAGACATCCAACTTTTCCATTTCATTCCTAAAATGAAGGTATGTCTTTATAATGTTTTTGACAAATTAAATACTTCGTGGAATTCATACCTATGCAAGGCATGAAGTAATTTTTGGTTAAATATGGGTCTAGATGAAGCATAATACGCTGAAAAGCTTCCAGCAATATAAGAAGAGTTGCTCCATGGCAACTTTCAGATCTCCAAAGTGTTCCTAAAGGAGTATTTAACTATCACTCAGGCTATATCGAAACGTCTAATAAGCAAGGTCAACAGCTAAAGATTAAAAGTCTACTGTATGTACCTTGTTTGAAAAGTTAGGGGCCAGTATCTACATTGTGAGTGGCACCTCGAATGGAAGAAGAGTCTGTTGGTAACCTGTATGTCATGACTTTTATTCAACGGAAGAGGTGGTGCAAGATCAAAAAATTGTAAAATATTTTCAACTCAACTAACTAAAAATGATCATGGGTCTTACCTTTCAGTTTCGGATTTATGGTGAACATATGCCTTTGAATCATGCAGGCCTGTTCCAGATGCCTCCGCTGCCAGAGGACTGTTACCATCACAACCTTTGGTTTCCTCCTACAAGTATTTCATGAACCAGAGTGCATTAGCTGAACCCACAAGTCCATTAAAAGATTAGGTCTTCATTAACTTACATTGTGTCTTTCTGCCATCCATCCAGGGATATTTTCAGTAAGAAGACATACATACTGTTCCATAGCAACCTCCGGATTCATGTTCCCCAGCCTCTGCCAAGCATGCCTAGCACAGTATAGGACAGTGTCCTCCATCAGATACATACATCTGTTGATGACTAGAAATCAAGTTATATCCAAACTGTAAACTGCATCATCTTGTAGTTCTCATGTGTAACTGTTGCTACAAAATCCTAGGAAGAATTTGGAAAGCCACTTGCACAAAATTGGCTAAATGGTTGGGCGCTGCTCACCCTAGTGGGAGCTAACTCCTGTGCCTCTAAAGCCATGATCACTTGACAAGTTTTCGTTGATGTAAAATCTGTGGTGGATTACCACTTAGCACTTCATAACCTCATCTAGTTTTGAATTTGTGCAACTTATTGACATGCTGAGTAATAGACCAAGCAACTAGGCCCACAATGTTCCAATTGATACAGGTTAGGTTATAAATAGCCATTTATTTCTTACTCGCCAAAGTGTTACCATAGCATGCACCAGTATCAAAGCATGAAAATGTGACAGATCTTCGGGATGCTCCATAGATAAATCAATAACTTATATATATCATGCCAATATGTGAAGGAATTAATAAGAAGAAACAGAAGAGTCCAGTCTATGGTACCATTTGGAGCGAGCAGAAACTCTCAGGGCCATGGGTTGCTGCGCATTGCATGGCCCCTCAGTGGCAATTTTTTGCAGCCCATACAACTGCATCTGCGCCTCATTATTCAGTTTCAACACTGCATCCCCTCCTTTCTTGATATGAACAAACTCAGTCGCTTCTCCGAATAATTTCTCAAGCTCGCTCCTTTCTATCCCCTCCCAATCATCCTCCCCATCAAGAAATGATGTTCCCTTCTCCTCATTCAAAACCTTCACATCTTCCACTTCTGCTGCGTATTCCCCACCCAATTCCACAACTTTCTCCACTGCTCCTCCTACATTGGCTTCATCCTTGTCGAATCTTTCTTCTTGCTTGACTAAGCCATCAACAATCATCCTGATCTCCGCTTCATCGTCCTCTTTCTTTTTAGTGGATTCCTCCTCTATGATTTCCTTCTCTAGGACAAACCCACTAACCTCTTGACCCAATCTCTGTTCTTCGGCATCAGCGACCACCAACTCCAGGCGATTATTTTCAGCAAGAGCAACTCCACTTCTCTCCTCCCACTCCTCCGTTTCCTCCTCGATCGGATCCAAGTCGAACCCACGGCCGACGTAGGAGGCCTCCTGTAGCCGAGGCCCTACATCCACGGCGAGGGGCACCACCTCCGACTTATCTTCGGGAAGATCGGCGTCATCGGCGGCGGCAGCGGCGGCGATCTTGGAGATGATGAAGGCGAGGAGCACGGATATGAGAGCAGTCACGAGAAGCTCCACAAAGAACTCCATCGTCCTCGCCTTCGCTTGGACTCCACGGCTAAAAGGGAACCAGACTTAACAACGACGGATTAAACTCAAATCGAAATAGAAACAAAAGAAGAGAGAGAAATAGAGGTTAGGAACCGACGGTGCTCTTTTCCCACGTGGCCCGTCATGTGGCCGCTTTAAGGCTTCCCCATGCTGCTTTAACAACGCCTTTATGCTGAAACCCGTGATCGCCCGCTTGCCTTATAATTGGTGGGTCCCAACTAATGCCCTGCCAGAACCCAATCAAAGGACGGATAGATTACTCGGGCACCCGTCAATGGGTACAAAACTGTGGCTCGGCTATTAAACTTGGACGCTAGGGACACACGTGCGGAGTTCGCTTGAAGTGCGTTTTCTTTCTGCCAGCTAATTCTCGTAGCCACCGATGTCCCTTTGTCTCTGGTCGGAGGCAAAAGCGAGGCCGACGGGGGACCCACCTGCGATATATATATATATATATATATATATATATATATATATATATATATATATATATATATATATATATATATATTTCAAGAAAAATCCTTACCCTCAAATTTTTATGTAAAGCATCCCAATTGAAAAAAAATAAAATAAAACAACACCTTAAATCATGTAAAATAATTATTTTATCCCTTCATTCCTTAGACATATCATCATCTACAACCCACGAGGGCTACCATTGCACACCACGCTCGTAATTTTTACATGAGGAAACGATGGTGAAAGTTTGCATCCCCTCCTTCTTCCTTGTGACCAACGACAATGGCATGCAATCACTCTCTCTCTTTTCTTATTCGTGATCGACAATACAAGAGGATTTGTAGGCAATTACAAAGGACCCCACCACCCTCCATGGTAGATAGCAAGGGCACATAGTTGCCCCTCCTTTTTTGCTCCTAATTGATGATGCAAGGGACACTTACAGGTGATAATAAGGACACTTAATCACAAATAAAATTATAAATATAATGTTCTATGAAATGCTTATATATATCCATATCATTCGATTTTATTCATATTTTACTTGTTCATATTTTGCACAAAAGACTTATAATAGGCTTGATAACCTAATTTTAATTGAATTTTGTGATCATTTTATGAATCTAAACATATACAATCATTACGTAGAGATAAAACTATCTATAAACCATCGAGATAATCATTTGAGATATTTTCTAACTCGGCAAAGTAATACGAAATGTCAATCAAGATAGCACTTATGAGTTACCTAGGTGATACATGGTTAAATGAGCCTTTGGGATAATATCTAATGTTGGTTCACTAACTTATTCTACAACAGTATCATGTAAGCATTTATGAGGACACACATATATATATATATATATATATATATATATATATATATATATATATATATATATATATATATATAGAGGTACTTTTGATATATAAGAAAATGCGCTAAGACTCATTTCAATGACATCGTCATCCACTATTTCTTTGGTTTGGTTTTGGATAAGCCTAGGGTACAAGTGGCCTCATGGTAGGTGCATGTCTTTGTGGGACAGTGACCTTGATCCTATCTGTTGCACGTCAAACTATTGTTTGTGTGTGCCGATAGAACAAGTTGGTCGCAGCATCTTTGTAGGACAAACTTGTCTTGATAGATACACTGTTGCACACCAGGCTGTTTATTTGCCATGTGAAACAACAATTTGGTCAGAGTATAATGTACGAAATGATGCTAAAAAGAAATTTGAAGATATACTTAGTTGAAGGTGCAGTTGATCCCAAGTAGATGTAATAAGCCTCCTTCCAACTACATAAATATTCCTAATATCTGACCTCACTTGTGGCTTCACACCTTAGATCTGGAAGAGATAATAACATGGAGAAAATTATTTGGATGGGTCATTATATAACACAAAACATTAGTAAAAAAATGATGTTTGATGCTCTGACAACAAAATTTTGGGGAACCTATTGATGGAAAGACTTATTAGGAAGGGAATACACAATTTTGTATCACATTATGCTTGATACAAAAGATTTCCAGCTACAACTTAGGATTAAGGGCATCAAGAGCATTCAAACACATCATTACCACAAGATATAACCAGACCACAGTTCCTTCTTCGTTTGCTCCATGACAAAGTAATCATTTATGTTTTTTTCTTTCACAATAACACCATGCATATTGGCTTGATGGATGTTTGTTTTCCAACTTATAAGAATTGTTGCTTTTCTGGGCATTCTTTCTCTACACTAGGAGTCTAAATCTCATCTCTAATATTTATTTGAGTTTAGAGTGCCCATTTAAAATGCACTAGCATTTTGGATGAGGATGTTAATCAAACAGAAAAATTCAATATATAAAGGAATATGCCTTGTGTGTATATTAATCTGTCCACAAGACTCTGATACAAGTATAGAAGAGATCACCTAGAACCGGAGGTTAAGGAAGGAATCAAGAGCTGAAGAACCGAAGCAAGTAATATCAGAGCAATCTCTAGCAAAGAATTATGTAAACTTCTATATGTGCTAAAGTATTTCTGTTAAATTCACAGTATATAATCAGAAAACATGTAGTAAGAAGATATCATGTCTAGCCAGAAATTTTAGTACGTGTCTTCCGGTATCATTTTATTAGGTTTCTTTTGCCGTTTTCAGCTGGCAATAAACATTAAAACTAAAGGTTAAAAAAAAAAAGCAGTGTATTTAGTTATGGTTGCTCTCTCCCTTAAAACACAATGATGCTCTATATATTGCAACACTTGATTATGTAATTTCCATCACACTGAAATTAATTTCTTGCACTACCCAATTATCTACATTTAAAAAGCATCATAAGAACATATGAGAATAAGAATCCAAACAAATTCTATATCCCAAAAAAAGAATCCTACCAAAGTAATTTGGGCAAAGGATTGAAGTTGTTCATACCAACCCAGATGACTTGCCGTAACAGGAATCTAGGTTATCATAGAAACCTAAACCTTATAAAACATATTTCGATAGAACTAACAGAAGTGCATATATAAATTCTTTTAATGTGACTTGTCAAAGGTTTGAAGCAACAAGCTGACAAAAAAAAAGAATGTCATGCAGAAATAATAGTCATAGGAAAAAGGACAACAGAACTAGTTGAAGAAATGGAATATGCCATGCTGGTGAAGCAGAGTAACATGGAACTCACCTGATAGCCATTGAACACAACCATCTTTTGAAATCTTCAACAATGCAACAATCGACACAACACTATAACTTAAATACTTTCCCTTCGTTCCAGCCCCGGAAGTATGCTTCTTGCTGAAAATAAAGTAACTTGAACAAAAAAGAAAAGTGGACACCTACGATGTAAATGATGGTTGACAGAGTCCTCCATTGTATGTAACAATCATGAAGGCAGAGTCATAGCTGTTACACTGTTTAATAAAACCTGACAGCCTAAATTCATCATATGCAAGTATAATGCCAAATAATAACTATTCTGTCCATAGAAGCCTTCATTTCAAGTGCAGATTGCAGTATTCAGTGTATTAAATAGTTGTTCTAGATCGCATCAAATAAATACCAAGACATGGAAAACAAAAGCATGTGAGTTTATGTTATATATACCGCTACTATCAAGAGGCATCAAGTTCTCATGTGCAATACATCACAGCCAAGTTCATAATACTCATAAGATACCAACAACTAAAGAAAGCTAATAAGACACAAAGATCCAACCATAATAAGCAACAAGTTTCTCAGAGAAACACCACAACAAAAACCATCTCAAAAACACAAAGCATCACTTCAGGACATATCCTATCCCATGTATCCAGGCATGAATTCTCTTGGTTAAGTCTCCTACCACACTATGCAGAAACTCTTGTGTCAAAAAGGATCTGCATAACTTGCATCATTCAGAGATCAAAACCACAGATTACTTGCAGTCCCAAACTCAAATCACAGATTAATTGCATTGCATAAAATAACAGTAATATAACACAACAAGATAACAACCATAATGAACAATGTAGCAAAACAAATTATATAAAAGCACATATGTATAAACATTGTCCAATCTTTGTTTCAAGGTAAGCCACAATCCATCAAAACCAGCTGAACAAAGTTAACAAGCATATCCATATCCATTCCACATAAATAAAGAAGGAGAAGAAAAAGCATGAAACCCAGCACAAAAAAGGATAACAGCCTATCATGTTGGGTGAGCAAAAAGAAATGAAGCAAAGCCTGGAAGCGATGCAGCCTCAGACCTTGCCAGGGCATTCCCTAGCAATATGCCCCATCTCACCACAATTGTAACAAGACCGGTCATTCCCACCGCCTCCCCCACCGTACCTTCTGCTGCCACTGCCTCCTCCCTGGGAGCAATCTCTGGCAAGATGTCCCATCTCACCACAGTTATAGCAAGCAGCACCGCCACCGCCACTACCCTGGTGACAATCTTTGGCAAAATGCCCAGTCTCACCGCAATTATAACAAGATCCGCCACCACCATAGCTTCCGCCGCCCCTTCCCCTCCCACCACCGTACCCCCCTCCCCAGGATCCGCCGCCACGGCCACCTCCAAACCCTTCTCTCCGACCGTCGCCGCCGCCGCCGCCGCCGCCCCCCTGGACGTTGGATCCGTCGGGACCGGTGACGTCGACGGCCTTGATGCGGCCGTCGTCGCCCTCGGTGACCATGAACTCGACGATCTCCCCCTCAGTCAGGGTACGGTATCCTTCAGCCTTGATGGAGGACTGGTGGACGAAGAGGTCCTCCCCGCCGTCGTCCGGCGAGATGAAACCGAACCCCTTGGTGTTGTTGAACCACTTCACCGTTCCCCTCGATCGGTCGTTCGCCTGCTCCATCGAAGCGGTGGAAGCCAACCCAGAGATCACCGAGGGAACCTTAACCCTCACGCTAAGAGAGAGAAGAAACGAAATCCGCTCCCCGTCTCACCGATGCTCGTCGAGGCGTCGCTTTCGGCGTGTTAAGCGTACCGTGATTTGGAGCGGGGCCTCCGAGGCGAATCGAAGAAAGTAGATCTAACCGCCAAGACGGAACGGTCGCGAAACTGTGACCGTCAGATCAGCTAAGTTCCATCTTTACCCTAAAAGCTTCATACTGTGTGTTAATAGTTGGTCTTATCGACGCCTCTTCGAGAAAAGAGACAAAAAGAGAGAGGTCTTGTCGGCAGGGGAAATGAGAACGGGTTCCACTGGAGATCCGAAACTGCACAGATCCACACCCGATATTAGGATGGGATTGGATTCGTTATACAAGTCATGGGATCACTGGATGTATATTTAAGACCGTAACCAATCGGATTAGACACGAACAAAAGCTGAAAGAACGCAAGGCTGGACGAAGAGAGGAGACGAACAAAGGACACGGGAGAGAACTACAGAAGGAAAGGATAAGATGAAAAGAAGCTCTTTCTTCCCTTATTAACTCTAATTTAAATGGTTATAGATACCATATAGATAAATAAAAATATTCAAGTGAAGTGCATTTATTCTCTAACAAAAACTAATGCAACAAGTGGACTAGACTGATTAGTGGTCCAATTTTTTATTTTTTTTATTTTGTTCTAATAACTATGACTAAAACTGAGAAAAAGAAGGATGATGCTTTTGATCGTGATACAAGTAAAAAAGAGTAAATAATTGGAATAATTTGTTTCTATAGCAAAAGCAATAATATCAAAAGTGTACAAAATTAAACCCAGTCAAAATTGAGGTTTCGAAATATGTTCTTGTATGGCAGAGGAGGATCAGATGTCACCGAGTAACGAAATAAAAGGTTGCAGGATGATTCTAAACTGAAGTAAGAAGTACGTCCAGATTTTTTTTACTGAACCCGGAATCTACAACTTGTCAGATAAGCTGCCTCGTCTTGCTCCCCCAGAAAGATTCACTACCAAGAAGAATACCTCAATCTACTTCTTTTTCTTTGATTTTGACAATGACTGCGCATAAGCAGTTCCCTGAACAAAAAAGACGAAGTTGAGTTGTGTAGAATGGTGAAAGAACATACGAATCAAACTTAAAAGCAAAGAACACAGCTGGAAAAATTATACAAAATCCATGAACCAGAGTAATTTCAATAAAATGTTAAAGCAATAAGAGGACAACACAAGTAAACATCCTCCGATTGCAGCAAATTAATATTTACCTGCAACCACTCATCCATGTCGGCATCTGTGGTTTTGGTGCCTACTTCCACCTTCGGAGATCTCTTTGTCTTCTGCATGGAAGAAAACACACAAAGAAACAAACAAAGATGGTTTAAATTTGCATGATGAAATAGCATGAGCATGAGAACATAAAAGTTACATTTCTCAACTAGATTTTAAGCTTGAAATGGTCAACAGGAATTGATCTCAAAGATGTCAACTATAAACTAACAGAAGATAAAAGAATGAACAAGGGCAACATGCGCTTGGTGCTCAGGATAGAGACCATTCTCAGAAAGAAAAAGGTGTTCATATTTTTTTTCTAGTTACATATTTGCATCCTTGAGCTACACACCAGAGCCGAATAAAATAAAAGGTGAATTTTGGGACTGGTACTGTCTTTGGATTAACTAAGCTCTACAAATTGCATGTCATCCAGGCAATGGCTTCTAGGTTTTTGTTGCAATTCAGGAAATAGTTGTGTAACAATCTTTAAATACATGAAGGTACTGACTTAAAAAGTAATTTCTTAGAAGTGAAAAAGGATGCCACTATTAGTTCACAATTAAACATACAATTTAAAAAATGTAACTCACCTGCATCTAGGATATACATGCATACATATCTTATTCTGGTAAGGTATGATTGATTAAATTGAACTCTCAGAGGCTTTGGTAGCAATTGGTCAACTCCTCCATATTTAAAAAATACATTTCATACAGTGTCTACCAAATGGCCCTTGACAACATAATTTCAAAATAATTTTAACCCTTGTTTACTTCCATTAATTATTTTGGCATACTCTTGACTTGATCCACTACTATAACGACAATACTAGACCCTAGTTTAAAAATAGATGCCGAAAATAGTTTCTTGCACTAAGAAACCAAACTTATCAAATGGATATGTACAAGAAGAGTTCAAACTTTATGTGAAACTTGAAACTCAGCAGAGGTACACTTGCAACGGCTTCAGTTATTCTATACTTCAATATGAAAAATATGCTAGAAAGATGCAATTTAGCAGCATTAATTATCTAATCAATAAAATCTTGTAACCAATTAAAGGTTCACAGCAAATGATCAAATAATTAAAGTACCTTTGATAACTGTTGAATTTGACCATATGCCCAGAATCCCAAAAGACCAATCAGAGCGACTCCAAGGGTCAAAAGAAAAACTGACTCAATGGTTAAAAGACCTCCAGCTTCTACAACTTCAATGGTGCCATTATAGAAACAATTCTGATATGGTTGCTGATCAATCTCATAGACTACCGTTCCCACTAAATCAAAAGAGCCAGGCTGCATAGCAAATCTCTCATTGAGTGCATAAAGGATTTGCATAAGAAACATACAGTAGTAAGAGAAAGATAGTGGCTCATAGGAAACATGTATCTCAACAGGCATGAAACTATTGAGAATATCTCAAATCTCAATCACATAAATGAAGCACTCACCTGCAAGTATCTGCTAACAGCAAATACATATGGGAAGGTAGCTTGAGTAGAAACAGGTACTGTTGCATTATAGAACTCCTGCAGTAAGATATTAACAGAAACACTTACCATCACCATTTGGGATACCAAATAAAGGACAAGAAGCATAAGTGATGTAAGACTGACCAAAAACACGCATATGTTTCATGATATATGTGGCAACAAAAAATTGACATTACAAATTCAAGAAAACAAATGACCAATACTTTCATCACAGGGAAAAAAAAATGTATGAAATAGTAGCAACAAAAGCATGTCCTTCACAAGATGTTAGGACATCAACAAGGCAAGCTGATAACCATTGCTCTCCTAAAATAGCAGCTGACTACAAGTTCAATTAATTCTCACCTCAATTGTGGGAAAATTCAGAAATGGGTTAATCAAACATAACAAGTAACCAAAAATTGTAGCTCATAACATCACTAGAAGACAAGACTTGACTAAAGTATGATGCTACAACCTGCATTGATCATAACTTGCAAGAAGCTACAAATTTGTCAGCCAGAAAAAGAAGTCCAATTTGAAGTTTCAAAGTCCTTTGGATCAATTTGCCAAGCTACCAACTTGTTGAAGTAGAACATGTTTAACAAGTACTTCTGCAATCTGCATATAACTTTTCAGAAATTATGATGACTTGCATTTTCAAGCCAAAGCATCAGAGTAGAAGACTTAGAAGAAGACAACAGATCCGCTCTAGAAATCCAAGGACTAATTAACTTGAACTAATAATGAAATTTGCATAAAAACCTTTTACATGTTGTAAGCCTGTAAGTAGACCAAAATTAAGAAAACCAAAATTTCCAAGGGTTATTGCTGATTCTGCTTGTTAGAAGCTATTTTCCAAAGTTGATGCTTCATTTCAAGGTGATGACAAGCAGAGAAATGCCATTTAAGTCGAATGATGGTTACTTATAATTCTCAGCCATCATCTAATCATCTAGGTAAAATATTCATCCAAAAGACCTCAATGAGTTGTCGAGATCCACAAACAAGAAAAAGAAGACAAAAGCAATTTAGGATTGGTCAGAAACATAAAATCTGACAAGAGATGGCATAGAATGACATAACTGTTAATTTGTTAAGCTCATCTAGATTCTAGTGCTGGATTTTCTTTAGTTATGGATGGACCGCAATAAACAGATTTCAAACCTTATAAAGCAGACTACTCTAAGAATCAATAAAACCTGACCATATGGTGATCCAACAGCAGTAACAACTTGTTCCAGTCAGTTCAAATGTATGTTGTTCAACTTCCAGTTGATTTATATGCTCACTTACAGTCAACATTGAGAAGTACAGAATACTAGCTATGAATCAAATAAAACTGTACACAGTTACACATGATAAATAGCACTCATACTTCTCTGAGCTATCTATGGACAGGGCAAAGAAAAAGTTCAGGGGTAACATATGAAAAAAAATTTGATGCCAATACATGATAATATGCATATTTTTTTAACCATGGATAACATGACCAAGATAAATGCAGCTAAGCAGAGATAACACATGAGGGGATTGTATGTGATGCCCACTATATAGCAATCATGCTGTAAGTCCATAACAGGCATCCCAATGGATACACACCTGCACAGTAAGATTCTGCACAAACATGTGATGATCAAACGGGAGATGAAGGCTAGCATGTATAGCAACCACTTTTAAAGCTGCTTCACCTGCATGTTTTCCAGATGATAACATCAATTATATGCATATAGTACAACAGTTTGAATAAGAAGAGAAGCTTATACAAGAGGCTTGGACAAAAGCAAGGTCTAGGGAATCTCGGTATGCAACCTTACCTCTAACAAAAATCAGCTAAATTGTCACAGAGACAACAACTTATCAAAATGAGCAGGTACACATCATAACATGGCAGCAAGGACTAAAAAGTATTATGGCTGAAGGTAGAATATGCCTATGGCTTGTATAGAGAATACTGATGTTGTGCACAAAGACCAGTGATATGTCAGATTCATTGTTTTGTGTGTCACTTGCAAAACAAAGCAGATAATAGAAGATAAATAATGGGAAGTAGTTTACTCAGCTTCCGCTACCTCATATGGAAAATCTAAATAACCACAGGAAAAAGGATGAGAAACTGGAAACAACATCAGCAAATCAAAATAAATCAAAAATCTACATATCCGACTCACAGTTTCCAGTTTATGCTTGATAACATAAATATAAGATAGAAACAAATTCGTTCCTGTTTCTGCTACTTCATCTAGAGTAGCCTGAAGATATAACAATTGTTTTATCATTGAAAGAGAACTATAAAATATTACAACTGAAAATCAAAGATACACTGCATATATTGACAATAGCAACTTATATTTGGTTAGACTGTCAAGAACCAGAAAATTTAATGTGGTAAAAAAGCAAATCTGGCAATACAGAAGATCTTAATTACGAGTCTGTACTGCATT